AGGGCACCCTTTAGTTCTTAAAGTCACTTGAAAATGTCTTTTTTGAACAAATGCATCAGGTTGAGAAAGAAGCAACAGCAACAAGCAGACAGGATAACTCTGCTGCTCACAGCTCACCTTCTGGCAAGCTTCAGGTGAACACAGTGCTTAGACTTAAAACTCTTCATACACCTACTAAGGCAGGTAAAACAGAGTTAAGTAAATGGAAATCGATTTACAAGTTTCCTTCTGCTTTTTTGTCCAATTCCACATGCAACTGCTCCTCGCAGTAGCCCTCTTGCTAGTTTTTGCACCTCGATGAATGCTCCTTGTGAACATCACCTTCCTCCTGCTTCCCATCTCTCCTTTGCTCTGATATCTATCTGACAAAACTAGAAACAGGCAGAAAATTTCTCCTTGATACTGGAGGGCAGATGGTCTGATTTTGCTGCCTATTGTGCCCATAATCCTTCATTTGTGGTCCATGGTCTGAGATCACCCTGTCTTTTGTTCCATTCCTAAACAGTACTCTCTTTCAGACAGATGCTGGCAGATTCCATGCTGTAAATTCAAGTTTCCTCCATCCCCATAAAAAGGACAGTTTTAAGAGGAAAATGGATTAACATTGCAAGTGTTCCTTGACAGCTGGGAGCCAGATAAGCAGCATTTGAAGTGTGCTCACATGACAACACATCAAAGCCTCCTAATGCAACATCATGCAATAATGTTGTCTAATTTAATGCAGTTTAAACTTAAGGTTATCTTCAAAGTTTTACTACTTTGATTGAAAACATGACTCAGGATGTGCAACACCACTTAAATCAGAGAAAACTGTGCCTCAAAGGTACCAGCTCTATATTTACTCAAAATTTTTTTATAAATGTGCAAGAACTGCACAAGGTGTCCCAACAGAAAAGAGAAGATGCTCTCAGGAGGTATAACTGCCACTGATGAAGTCAGCGGGATTACAGCAATTTCCACCAGCTCAGTAATACAAAGTGATGCTATTATGTCTCTAATTTTAGAGTTAGATTAAACAAAAAAATGGGAAATCATTTAACTACCTTTTATTTTTTCTTTCTCAGGCAGTTTTATTAGCATTCTTAGAATATTATATTCTCTGGTATTATTTTTTTAACTTTAAAATAAACCTGGCTGGGACATTATTGCTTATCCAAACAGATGTGAAACCCGCTGTACCTAGTAAAAAATATTCTAGGGCCCACAATGCCAACATTTCTCCATTATTTGTATTATTCTGGAAGCTGCTGGGACACAATGGAATCTGCCTAGGATATGTTGGCAAACACCATGTTCTTAGAGGGCAGCCACTTCCATCAGCTCTATGCATTGAGATCAATCAACACTTTGGAAAGGACGTTTGTAATTATTTGGTAGTTACTCCATGAGCTTATCCAGAAGTTGTTTAGCAAAGCAGCAGCCCTTTTCCAACAAATCAGAAAACATGACTGCAATTTGGCACACACACCAAGGAAATCACCTGACAACCTGGGATCTGTCACACTCCACTGGTAAAATGCAGAAATTCTACAGTCCTCAACATTCCTTTACCTTTGGCAAGACATGCCTTTTCCCAAGCTGATTCCTGAAGAGGTGGTGGTGTTATCAAAATAATCCTGTCTGCAGTAATGCCCACTGAATTCAGGTAGTGCACCATGCCCTTCAGGTTGGCAGCATACTCCTCCAAAGGAACGTGTTGCTTGGGGTTCAGCTCTGTGAGGGGAGGAGCACATTATCAGTGGGGCTGAGCTCCCTGTAAGGCTTCTTACCCAGCATAACAGGACTTGTACACAGTACGGCCATGGACACTCATTTCCAGTATGCAGTTCCCTTGTCCATGGATTCGGGAGGCGTGGTAGGAAAATTCTGGTCCTCCATGCCCAAAGCAGACAAATCAAAAGTTTAAAGACAGCATTTCCAACTAAAGCAAATAAGGTGCAAGGGTAAAAAAAAAAACCAACTCAACAGTCGGGGTTTTTTAAGATGCTTTTTTTACAACTTCGTATCTTAGTATCACATAGTCACCTCAAATCTCGCCTGACCCAGAACCCAAGATTTCCATTATTCTTGGATGCAGTGAAAACTTTGGAAAGTGCCACTGACATGCAGTCAGTCCTTCATGCACTGATGTTATCATTTTGATTAGACTCTGCATCCTGCTATGCTTATCTGAAGGAGAACTCAAATGCTTGGGTAAACCCAAGTTTACCTTCCCTCAGCCCATCTGCAAAGAACTCCTCATTCTCCTTTAAAGACAGAAAAAACAGCTAGCTGCCCAACTCCCATTTTAGGCAACTGCTACCAAGTCTTGAGCACCCTGAAATTTATTTTTCTAGTACTAAAACTTGGTGATAGGGAGAGAAATGGAAGACACAGCTCAAATACAAATGAATTGACTGAAAACAAACCCCTGTATAAATGAATAATCAGTGCCTGAGAAATACCAGGAAAAGCCTATTCAGAAATGTTTTGCCTATTCTGCTAAGCTGTAAAACCATCTTAAGAGATGAGGTCACAGAAAAAAAAAGACAGAAAGCAAGCTATCCTACCTTTCAAAGCACTGTCATTAGCTCCAAAGAAAATGGTAACTGCAGCAATGCTGTCAGCACTAGTACTTTCAGGGATCAGTCTTGGAAGAATCAATTTAGCCCATCTGGTGTTGTACCCTGAGATCCCACGGTTCAAAACATCACATTTTCTGAAATGAAGACACATATGAAAAAGAACATCTCTCTGTCCACCAAAACAAATCTTGGGAAGTTTTGAACCATTCTGTCAGGCCATGTGCCTCCATCCCTCTCACATGAGATGTCACATGAGTTTTCAATGGGATCATGATTTGAAAGTGCACCCACAGAGGCTGCACATGTAGTATTTACCTGTTACTTTCACCATGGAACCAGAACAACAATCCTGACAATCACTAAGACATTTTTAATTTCCACTCAAGCTTTGAACGGAAACACCCAATGAGTATTTCCACCAGCCCTGGGCATGCTGCCCAGAAGGCAGTTCCACTTCACTAAATAAATAAATGTCAATAAATAAACATGTATTAAATATTAACTGCTGTTGGTTTTCATTTAGAAAAGCTGCATGAGTTTCTGCAAGCTAGAAACCACTTTTGAAATTTAAGCTCTTACCTGACCAGTCTCTCAGCAAGGTATGTCCCCCAGCCGTTTTCCTGGAAGGAGTACTGAAAGCAAGGAAAATGGTGAGATCCTCACTGGAAGAACTTGTTCCCCAGAGCTCAGTCCCACCACTGGCATCTTCCCATCTCAAAAGCTTTTGTGCACGGCCTCTGGCACTGCTGCTGCAGCGTTTTCTTCCTCCCTGCCCTGTCCCTCTGAGGTCAAACAGTCCTGGTTTTACCCAGGCACAGCACTGGCATCTGAGGTAACGCAGGGCTGGTGCCTCTGGAGGGATGGACCCCGTGGTCTCTTCAAAATCCAAACTGATTACTGTTGGACTGTAGTTTCATTTTGGCCAGTGAGGGTTTGCTATGTCTGTTTGTGCTATTTTTCTACTTCAGTTCTAAGACCCTCCCATTCTGGAGAGCACTCTCAAAAATTCTCTTTGTATTCATGGAGTTCAGTTGAATGGAGTTAGGATGGTTTTAGAGGTTCGGCTGATGAACAGTAGTTTACTCATACTATACAATCTGAAATATTAAATGAAATGTACCAAAAAGGTGATTTAAGCTGTTTAGTCTAACTAGATACCTGTTTTCATTTTAACTTTCTTAAATAGAAGATCAAATTTTTCCCTCCTGTTCTTAACAGGTACAGTTAATAAGTAACTCCAACCTCTTCCAGAAGCAGAAAAACTAATTCCTTCTCCTTATTCCCACTGCTGTACCATCCTCCCTGTTACAATTCTGCACAGTGAGACAGCTTAAGAAACCCATCTCCCACTAAAGATAAGCTCGGTCTCTGGTTAGTTACTTTTTCATTAGAGCAGCTCCGTGATCCACCACACAACAGAAAGCAGGGACCCAAAATCAACGCTAAAAATCTGGCGCTGCCTCAGAGATGTTCACCAGGCCGTTGGTCCGGACAATGGAGAAGCTGTCTCCGGGCTGGGAGCTGGGCACGGCCAGCTGGGATGCACCGGGGCAGAGTGCGAGGCCCCTGCACACGGCATGGGCAGCAGGCTGGGCCCCCTGCATGGAAAATGCCCCCGACACCGGAACATCCCAAGCTACACCTTCACCTCCGCGTCTCTAACACAGCGATCTCAAGCATTTCTGTGGAACGGCTCCAGATCTCACGGACGCCCGCGAGGCACGAAGGCCCCTGGCACAAGGGGCACAACCTCAGCCTGACGGCGGGGCCTGACCGGGGCCATGAACGCGCTCCCGCTGCGGCCGCCGGGCCTTCCCTGTCCCGCCGCTCGCACCGGAGCTCAGGCTAACACCGGCATGCTGCTGGGCCGCCGGGCCCGGCACGAGGAGTCGAGCTGGCCAGGGAGATCCGTACGGGAATTGCGGGGCCAGGCGGGCACTACCTCAGTGATGGAGTCTCCGAAGAGGAGCAGGCCAGGCCAGCTCAGGAGCCGCCCGCGGGCCCCGGGCTGTGCCAGCGCCATGGCCGCGGCCGGACATCCGCCGGCAGCGGCGGCGGCAGGAGGCGGCCTCGCCGCTCGCTCGGCAGCGGCAAACGGGGCGGGCCGCTGGAAGGCCCCGCTTACACACCGGGGTCCGCTCCCAGCCCCGCTCACTCTTCTATTGCCTCTTTCAAAGGTGCGCGGGGAGGGCCCGCCCGGGGCAGCCGGGGCCCCCCTCACACACGCTTCGTGCGGGCTGGAAGGGCTTTGAACAGAATGCGCGTGATTTTACGGTTTTCATCCCTTTCAAAGAGACGCTTCTTAAGAAAATGTAATTACCTCATTTAAAAGACTTCATAGTGTTTAGCTTGCTAACGACACAGTGTGGGGAGGAAGGTGTCGCTAATTTTGCTAATACTGCTCATAGACTAATTCTGCTAATAGTACTATTACTATGAAGATCATCAGGTGCCAATTTAATCAGGTGACAAAAGGACGGATGAAGTGTGCACAATACAGTTCTTTTCTGGAAAATTCAGGTTTTGTGGGCATTTTTCAGCATGACAGTGTTTGGCAACAACCGCAGCTACCTCAGAGCATCAATCACACTGTATTTGGAATTCTGCTGTGTGTCCTGCAGTGTCTGATAGTCCGTGTCCCTTTTCCTAGGCCAGGTGTTCACCAGCTTGGGGCAGATGAGGCTGTCACAGGTCATAAGCACCCACTTCTCTTGCAGGTGGTGGTGTTCCTCTAGTCCAGTTAATGGTATGCCAGCCTGCAGAGTTTTAAAGCTCCAACCAACCCCACCATGCAAATAGATTCCATTTTCACTTGTGTTCAAGACCCTTTTGACTTCAAGTAGATAAAAGTGTGCAGACAATCACTTCCTCAACAGGAACAAAATTATATATGCAAACTTAATATATCCAATTTATCCTCCAACTGGTTTTAACATTCAAAAAACTCCATTTAATCTTTGTAATGCTGTATCAGGTTAAGAATTATTTCTTACGTGTGCACATAGGAGAACATATGCACACTTTGCTTGAGTTAATTGCATCTATATACACACATACAGTTGTTATGAGGTTGCTGATCCACCATGTGAAATAACTCAGCACTTTCACATTTACAGAACTGAAACCTTTGACTTCCTCAGGAAAAAAAATTTATTTACTCATAAAAAATAGCCCAAATAAATTTAAATTTAAAAGATTTTTTTTTTAGACATCCTAGGTATCTACAGAGGTCAGTATACAGGGCTGAGGGCATCATAAAGCCTCTGTGCTGCTAGTTCCACCATTTCACGAAGGGATTCATCATCTTCACTTCCTGGCTCACAGTCAACTGTCTGGGAACAGAAAGAGAAGGATAAGGATGTTACAACCACTGGCACTTTATGCTCCCTTTCAGCACACAGAGAATGCTCATAAGGGGAAAGGAAAAAGTAGTCATGGAAATGATCAAGAGCAGCACTCTATGTTTTTCAGTGCTCTGCCAGCATGTACAGGAGTTCAGAGAGGACTTAAGCAAGTCCTGCCGAGGAACAAGAAGCTTAATTTTGAGTCTTATGCTCAGAACAGCTATGTAAAATGCATTAAGTTTTGCGGATTACATTCAATTCAAATAAAATCACACAAAATTCAGTTCCTGGAGATTTGGTTTTATCTGTCAATGCACTCACATTGTACTTGGTTAACACTGCAAAACACATGCAGTCACTAGAGGTACAGGCACCACACTTACGCTCTCATCACACACGATGATATTTACACAAAAATATCCAAATAAATTTATTTTTTACTAAAACGAATTTTCCTAGAGAAAGAAGCCCACCCCAGACATGAAACTTACTCTACATTCCTGATTCTTGTACCTCAGAAACAAAGGGCAGCATTTGAGTAGTAATACTGTTCTTGGTCCTGTGGCCTTTCTAAACTCTAAGACTACACCTCCTTTAATTCAGTATTGGCTTGTTACTCTTCTGAACAAGTAACTCTTTCCAACCATAAAGGTCTGGGGGGAGGAAAAAGGCTCTTGAAACAGCAAATATGTATTTAATATTACCTAGCAATGTTATTAAAATCATGTTAACTGTGAGAGCCCTGTGTTAACATGGATAAAATAAATCCACATATCCCACCGTCAGATCTAAATGAAAAAGCTTTTTGTTTTAAAGCCAATAAAGTTTTATAAGATACATATACACGTGAAGAAGGACAGAAGATCTGCCTTGTAAAATCTGGTTCACAATGGCATAAGCTTGCCATTGCCAACACAGACTGTACAGTAAGTACTGCAAAGATACACCCTGTTGTAACTGAACTGCCATTGGGGTTTCTGTCAGTACACAAGACTTTTAACAGTAATGACATATTATAAAAATGAAATCAAACTTCTTGATTAAGCAGTATGCATTCTTTTCCAGTCTAGTTACTTTTTTCTTTATTTCAAGAGTTCTTTCACCAGTCCTGTATTTTTTTGTACTATGTACAAACTGAAATGTAGCAATGTTTATTAAAGAATTGAAAAGAGATAGCACAAGTTTTGTGTTAACCACTGTAACTCACTATTATCTTAAGGTAATTAACATTCCCTTGTTTTGTTTCAATAGGTAACAAATTTTTGCCAGAGGACCTTTTTTTCTGGGTTTGTAGAACACTTAAAATATTTGTTGTGACACTTTAAGGAGAGCATGAGAGCTACTCCATAAAATGAATTTACATTGTATTATTACTATGATAATATAATAATAATAATATATTATTATTATTATAGAGGCAATACACAAGCTGTGTTTAATATGTTATTAGTAATGGCTGAAAGTCAACATGTTAAAATGCTTAAGATTATGAAGGACATGGCTTTAACCATTCTTTACAGTTTTACATTATTCAAATAACCTGCCGTGATGGCTTCTTAAAGTACCTTTCTAACATGCATGACATTCAATTCTAGACCAGGCTAGTAAATAAAGTATTTATTTTTGAGACTATTTCAGGCTTTCAATTTAGCTCCAAAAGGATGACAAAAAAAAAGACAAAAAATTATTAACAGCATTCCTACCCTGTAACTAATTCAGACCAGAGCTATGCTTAAAAGCATTAACAAAAAATTGTGGGTTAACTCAGTTTCTCTTCTACAATCTTTCTTTATTCATTTTTTCATACAACTGAGCTGCTGAAAAATACTGGGGTTTTTTCCAAATGTACTGCAATTGTTGCATAAACATTGCTAGCATTTTTTAATTAAGAACACTCTCTGTTTTGATACCAACTGCATTTCCTTAGCAAATGAGTACATGACAGTGTAGGCAGCTCTGTGTGCCAGACAGGAGACTGCTGAACATGGCACACACAAAAGTGCTTTGCTTTACATACCCGAGTGTCCAGGGAAAGGTTGGCAGTCTTTCCATCCACTGTGATGCACAGGACAGAGTCATCTTTGGAACTCACACAGTCCTCTCCAAACATATCCCTAAAGCAAAGACCATGAGCGTGAGGTGTGGCCAAACAGCAAACTTCGGTTTTCCTGTTAACCCTGGGGTCACTTTGTCAGGTGAGTATCACCTTTCAGCAACAATTATTTAACTCACCCCAATGTAATTAAAAATATAAATCTTTATTGTGATAGAGGTTATCAAATAACAGTAAGTATTTTACCAAAATAATCTCATCATCAACAAAGGGAAGGATTCCTTTGATTTCAAAAGAGGCAAGATTTCTACACAAATAACAGAATATACATCAGAGTAAGTTTTAAAATAGATGGGATCTAAAGTTGTTTTTATTAACCATTTGTAGCATAACTTTTGGAGGGAACTTAAAAATCTGTTTATGGAAAATAAAACTGGGCCTTGTATTCAAAATTTTAATGATGCTGAGAACTTTTTACTGTACCTCTTTCTTTACTTAATTCCTGGCCTTCACAGAAATTAGACTGAAGTAAATATTCATGAAGTATTTTTACATAACTATCTTTAAACCCTTTTATACTAAGACTATTCATCTAGTTACATGATTAATTGCTGTTTTTCCTTTAGAAAAATATATGCCAACTTACTGAAGCATGATCTCCATTCTCTTCCTATACACATCCATATCTATTTTTTTTGAAATCTTACTTACTGCAGCTGAAAAGAAAAAGAAATTACTTTCAAAGAGATTTACTGGGAGGGAAAAATGGCTAACTGATAGATGCTTTTTACAAACTGACTTTCCTGGAGAAAAAAAATCCAAAAATTAAATAAAAGATGTATGTTTAAATAATTTATTTAAAAATGTATTTTTAAAAAGATGAGAGTCAAGGAAATACATACATTCCATTATATATTCCTGTACTTATCATATTTTAAAATAAAAGATTTCACAATTCACATTCTGACTTTTTACTTCTCCTATTTATTGTTAACACTCATTACATCTCACATGTCCTTTACTTAATAGAAAAAATAATCTACTTTTGTCAATTGTTTATAGACATGAGGACATGGCCAAAAGGGCTTATATAGTGAAAATTATCACAACCAACACCAGAAAATTACACTCTGAATTTGTTCGAGTGAAGGTGACTGGAAAATCTTTACCCCCAGACAAAGTAAGAACTGTTATGGGAATTTATAAACTCAGGTGAAAGGATTTTTAACAAATGCATTGAGTCAGATATGGGACTAAACACCTAAGGAACACTGACTGCTATTATACAAACTTGTTAAAATATATAATAAAAAGACAAGAGGGCTAATCCTGTGAAAATAACACCTATTTGTACATATAGAATGATTAAATGGCCTGGGTTGGGCCATACAAACTTAATCACTCTAAATTTTTTTTGTATGAGATTTAAAACTTATTTAAAATACGGCCATGTTTTCCACAGTCAGTTATTGGCTGCCATGTAAGAGAAAGTTTCAGCAAATGAACGTGTCACAAATAATGAAGACCAAGTTGTAATTCTGCTTTTAAGTGGCAAATTTTACTCCCCAGTAAGTTCCATAAGGCAAGGCTATCTATAGGAAGACATTATTTCGCTCTAAGCTTGACGTAAAAAAATATGGAGAAATGCCTCAGTTAAATAAGCATACACTAAACATACCTTTCTGTATTTTGGGATTTGACTGAACTTCCAGTATCACTGTTGTCACAGTGTCTGCATACATATCATTAGCAGGATTTGCCACCCACTAGAAGAAAAAAAAAAAAAAGAAATTAATTATTTAGACTGAGTGAATAATGCAGCATAAAGACAATATAACATTAACTGCATTCTCCTTTTTGCTTTTCTCTGAATTCCACCTTCAAACGACGGTCACACATTTCACACCAACTTATTAGCTACTTTTAACTGGGTGTACTCCATAACTTCCCATGAAAATTCAAGCTTTTGATTGTTTCTGATCACATTTACAACATAATTAATTACCTCAACTTTTTGGGGGAGGAAGAACACCATTTGATGTCATTTCCAATTACTATCTGCCAAATGAAAAAAGGGCACTAAATCTGCCATCATACTCACGAAATACAGGAAAAAACCCAACTGGCACTGGATAAATCAAGTAACACACATCCACACAGGACCACAGTTCAAGGGGAACTTTGTTTTAGCCTTTGCTCTACTTGTCATACAACAGAAAACTCCTTAAAACATTGAATTCTGCATGGCATCTCTATGACATTATTTTGAAGAAACTGAAGAACAAAATACTTCTTTCTCCCTCACCAATGCCCACCTCAAGGACTACCATGCCTGGTTCCTGGATCACAGTAATATTTTTGAAAACCTTCAGGGCTGGTTTTTGTTGGATTTCTATTTCTTCTACATCACCTAAGAAGTGACAACAAATGGTTAGCAATAATGAAATTATACTGGAAGCAAGGCAAACTTCATTTGCATAAGAAAATAGGTCAGTTTAAGAATAAGAGGGGTGGTCTGTTATCACAACTACTCAGAGTAGCTCACAAAATGGAACCCATACTCTCTTCCCTTACCTGCCAATATTATTTTCTTTGTTCTGGATTGTTTGGGGGGTTTTTATTAGTTAATACTGCCCATTTTTGGTTTGAATGCTCGTATTTGACTAGCTTAGTACACTGAGTACACCAACAAAAAAGACAATACATGAGAAATGTAGTTAATTCTGCTCCATTTGCAGAAGTAACCAGCTCTTACACCCTTAAAGGATAATCCATTGCTCATATAAGCATAGAGCTTAAATGAAAAGCACTTGTGTGAACCTCAACTGAATATAGGTTTTCTCTTCACTAGTGACATGAATTAGATTCTGACACTAGGGAATTTAAAAAATTCTGATCCTTAAATCTGGGAAAGGAATCTGCACGGTGTATGTACCTAGGACAGGAGCTGCCCCCAACCCCTGAGAAAGCCAGAGAGAGGCACAGGGGATCATCCTAGTGTCAGGTTTAAATGGCTTCTCATCCAGGAAAAGCCAATTCGTGCCTCTTGGGGAGGCACAGAAGAGGCTGTCTGTCACAAAGGAGGTCAGAGCTCTTGTTTTGATTAATTGGATGGCATTAGCCATTCCATTTGGGGCTAGAGATAAAAGATCAATTAATAAAGTTTCCATCAGTGCGGCCAGAGCACTCACTTTGGGGGCTGATAGAGACAGAAATCAGCCTATGCTCTATATTGCTATATGCTCATCACTTTATAATACGAATACAGTAAAATCCCCCCCCAAAGCTGTGTCACACTCATGAACTGGATCTGGAGGAAGCTGCACAGTCTAATGAAAGCTGTAAATACAAAGAAATCTTCACTCAAAAGACCTCTGAAGACAGGAAGTTGTTTTAAAAGCTGTCCAGTGTAAATCACAACCATGTTCTCCCAAGTACACACCGGTGAGTTTCTGCAGCTGGTAACAAAGCAGATTGAAAGGGCCTGTGTAGGGAATGGCTTGTGTCTGTGTCACTGTGCTCATCGCCAAGTCCGTGTAATCTGAAACCATTTTAAAAAGTACATGTTAAAAATGAGCCCTCTGAATTCACTTCCTAATAAGCAGAATTGCCATTATAGACAAATAATGGCATTGATACATTTAAAACAAGAAGGCTGAAAAGGGCAATTTATAAAGAGGAAGGTGGAACACCTATTAGAAGATAAATAATATATTTGTGGTTGTGCTTGTTTTATTATCCTGCCTATTAGAGACTAACAATGAACTAGGACAGCAGAACTGCTTTCCCCCAAGCCCTTCTAACCTTAGATTTAATTCCTCCTCTATTCTGAGAATAGATCAGTTCTCTGAGTAATAAAAAGCATAAGAGGACTACACAAGTATTTTCTCTGTTCTGTAGCTTTTTACACTAAAAACTAACAACATTTTAGAAAATGATAGGACTATTGATTGGAGTGTTTTATGGTTCTCACTGTAATGTTTTATGCATATTCTTGCAGAGGAAAAGGTTTTAAGTAACCAGAAGGGGAATGGAATTTTGCTTCTTTTCTGTTAGAGAAAGCAAAGATTTAAAATTTGATTGAACAATGAGTTAAATACCTTTCGTCTTCACTACAATGGTTCAGAACTTATGGCAAATAAGAAATAAAACTAAGATGTTCACTAATTGCTTATGAAACACGAAACTGCAGGAAAAAAAACCCGAAATTATAAGTGTTTTAATGACACAGTAAGTTTCAATTACCCACTGATTGCATCACTGTCTATACTTACTGGAGAGGTCACATGGAGAAAGGATGTGATAGTTAAAATTTCTTTTAACTAGGATTCCAGAAATCCTCTGTCCTTGCTCTGGTTTCTTATCTGCTAAAGATCCCATCACCTGGAGAGAAAAAAACACATATAGTGCAACAAGGCAATCTGAAGCATTCAGTTTCAAGTAATTATGGAGATGAAATACAGTTCTCTCAGAAAAATCAGAGTGTAAAATTAACTCTGAAAACAAAGGTCAGAGTAACCTAGAAACTTTCTGAGACATAACACAAGAAAAGTTTGTAAGAGTGAAAAACCAAAGAAAAACCGAAAACAATAACAAAAAAAAAAACCTCAAAATAAAAAGCCTAGAACCAAACCCCAAATACAATTAAACACAAAACATTCGCATACTTTAAGACTCTGGAAAACATGTAATTTGAAATCAATTAAAAATAGAAGCTAGGAAAATAACATATAGATTTTATACCACAAGAAATTATTGTTCTACGTATAAGAAAACATTGATTTCATACCTTGGCAAGCTTTTCTCCTCTGAAGTTTAATGTCACAGCTTCAGTATTCCTAGGATTATGAACTTCTATATGAACTTCATCATTATCCTCATACTCCCGTATCAATGCTGCTTTCAATCTGGCCATTTCGTTCTGCTCACCATGAACTAAAATCTATAAAAAAGCAAGTTTTCCTTTTAGCAGAAATTATTTGTCAAACCAGACATGTTTAGTAAGCAAATTATCCAAGAAAACTGCCATATTCTATCTCATGCAATTCCATGAGGTCACAGTATAGGAAACATGAGCTCAATTACAGTTCTGTGTCTGAATTCTCTGCATTATTCAAAGGGTAGGATTTCACAACCCTGAGTATTAGTTGAAAAATCCATACTACCAAGCAGAGTGCATAACAGAGATCCCATTTAAGTTTTCACACTCAAATATATTGCTGCATTATGAAAAGGAAGTATTAATTTCAGTTAGCTTTATATTTTTGCATCTGTGTGTAATTATAAACATAATAAACATGCAATTCAGAGAAGATGCTTCACAGTTCACAATTTTCTTTGCCAAGTTAATTCTCTTCTGTGATGACTTTTTTTCTTTCTTATCTGTGCTTGCACACTGTTTCAACACCAGCTTCAGATCCTAGTCCCCATCTTCATATTCTGGTCCTTCTTCCCATGATTTGCTCATTTTGCCCCCCTCCAAGCGCAGCCTTTGTCTTTTGCTGTCTGTATATACCTTTAATCAATGTTTTCTTATTTATTCCAGGGCCAATTCCAGTGAATTATTCCAATACCAGCATCCCCAACCTAATGTTGTCCCATACTGCATCTTACTTGCTCAAAACACTGCTGACACAGATTGTGGATCTACACCATTGTCTGGAAAGTCATCCCCAGGGATCCCACATGCAGACACTCAAGAACAAGTTGATTTTCACTTTGCTAAGGTAACTTGACAAAAAAATCATTTAAATCTCCACCTTTAATTATGCAAAGCACAGGGATGCTGGCTACTGCTAGACACCAGTCTCTGCCTTGACTCAAGGCTGCGAGCTGGTTTGATGAATCCCACTCTGGAGAAATGGGCAGCATGGATACTGACCACATGTGGAGGTTTCAGAGCCCGGATAAATTCACTTGTTTGTTGATAATCTGTGTGAGCAGAGAAAGAAATATAATCCACAGACATCTTCAGTGGGAGTTTTTGCCCTGACATAGTTGTGATCTCTTCAGGTTCAGACATGATGTGCTAGAAAATAAAAAGCACCTTAATTAAAAAAAGTAAAGCCTCCTATAGACACCGTGTAACTAATGCTTTAAGTTTCAAAAATCAATGAAATAATAGTGGCAGTCACTTCATTAAATGTGAAGCAGTAAAAAAAAAGTCTCTCAAATTTCCCAGAACACTCCCACATGAAAAATGCATGCACAACACACTATTTCATTTTGTGCATCCTCAGCAGGTCTGTGGCTTCATTCTTCTTCCAGATAAATCTCTCTAACTTGTATCAAAACAGTAATATGTGTGTGATTTTTACCTCTAAAGGTAAAATTAGATGATGTGGTTGCCCTTAGGTGCTGGAATTTGGAGGGATTTCATTCCCTACAGATGGTCAGTGGCACAAGGTGCACAAGGCAGCCTGGTCTATGATATATAAGTAGTGTTGGACTTAGTATCAGCTTCTCTAGAATCAGGATTAGGGCTACCTTCTTGAAAAAGTATGCAGTGGAGAGGTCTAAAATACTAAGCATTACTACTGACCATTACAAGGTCACTGCTCCTATAAAAGGTTATTCTATATAACATTACTGGAAATGACCACATGCAAATTTTCTGTACTTTTCATTAGTATTAGCCAAAAGCAATCAGTTTTGACTACGTACTCATACATACCTGACAGCAATCTCAGTAAATCAAATAAAGACTTGCTATTGACCAAATCTTTTAAAACCTAATATGAATGCTACCTGTTACTAAGAGGTTGTGGTGCATTAGCAACTCACCTTAGCAAGAGTTCCTTCAACGCAGTACCCTGCAATAATGACTCCATTTCTCTTATCTGTGCACCAGCTCTCAAACAACTCCCTGGATAAGCCACTCTGCATCATCCCTGGGGAAGCCATGACAACACTTGGGCCAATGTCATCAAAGTGATCCATACTCTAGAAAGACACAGTGAGAATACCAGTTACCACAACTTGGTTACATGAAGGACAGCCCAGCTGCACCCCTGAACAATGTACAAAAAGGGCCCTGTGTTCACAGATTATACCCCAAAAAGTGTCCTTTGCAGAAAATTCCTCTTACTGATACCCACACGGAGTAAACTGGAAGCACGGGGATCTATAGTGGAAAAAATGTTGGGGCATAAGCTTCCCTCTAAGCACTGGGACAGCAGATAACTCAGATATAAGCCTGGTCCTAATCAATCTGTAAGATATTAAGGATATTGATTGGCTCAGCTGATTAGAGCATGGTGCTAAAGACACACCAAGGTTGGGGGTTCAATCCCTGGAGGGGCCCTTCACTTCAGAGTTGGACTCCATGATCCTTGTGGGTCCCTTCTAAATCAGAATATTCTGTGATATCAGGATATTCAACATGCAAACTATTCAGCAAATATGAGCTCTTCTGTTATGTTCACCTTTTTTAAGAATCTCAAGCTTACCTTCAGATTACTAATATGCTTGAAAACAAAAGGATTGTTGATGTTAATTTGCTTGCGGATTTTGTCATTCATGGCATTGACGTATGTCTGATAAACTGCCATACATTTCTTTGCCAAAGAGGAGGCATAGTATATGGGGATATCATGGAGTTCAGGATGATTCTGCCAGTACTCATCTAAAAATCCAAAACAAACAAAATAATAAAAAATAACAAAACAAAACAAAAAAACCTCAAAAAACCCACTCATCAAACAACAAAACACAAAATTCCATCTGCAGGATTATTTATAAAGTGTGTGCTTCCCAGAAACATTAGTAACTCTTGTAAAACAGATTTACCAGTGGACTTTTTCATTTTTAGTACAGAAAATCACCATCACAGCCTGTTTGCTTTCATCTGCTTTTCTAAAACAGTCACCAGCTAGAACTGTATACAACCAGAACAAACAAGCAAACAGGCAAACAAACATGACAAAGGTGAACTTTAGATATTTTTGGAAGGTCAAATTTCAATCAATCACCACCTTCAGCGACAGGGTATAAAGTATACATGATACTACACTGCAATAACTCTACATTTATGACAACACCTAAAATAAAGCTAAAATGTCCCTGTCAAATATTAATTATACATCTAAGAGCCAGAGAATCTGCACACAGATTTGTGAGAATTCACTCTATGTCTGTAAAGCAAGTCCATGGAGTTCAAGGTGAGAAGGAATCACTCGATTATCAAGCCTGACTTTCTGTATAGCACCAACAGTTATATTTTACAAGCCCCACTGGAACAAAAACAAGGAAAAAGCCTTCATTAATCACAACTTATTTTATCATTAATGACAGTAGCCATAACCTTTCCTAAACATAAAGAACTGAATGCAGCTGTACAAATGTAACTTATCAATTTTCCCATTTGGATACAGTCCTGCTAGTCTGAAAGATATTTATGTTGCACAACTGAGGCACAATCGTCCAAAAATAGAGGTACACTCTGTTGGCTTTATTGGTGCATTTACAATGACATTACAATGTGCTTTTACCTAACATTTCTGATTTGCAGGCAAAGCTTCTCACAACATTTCAGAGAGGCTCACTGACACAGCTACCTTAATAAGCTCAGGTGGAAGGTGGAAACAGTCAGTAAAAGATAACCAGTCACAAACTGAATTCATCATCATAATTTTCTACACCGTAACACAGTATTTTATTTTTGTCATACAGTTACAGAAAGAAAAATAAACACAGAAGCCTGCAGGCTCAACTGCGTAGGCATGTAAGATGCAATTGCATTTTCTACCTAATTAAGCATCCAATTGCATGTCTAGCTCTCCTAGATATATTTTCAAGCTTATCTTTAGAAAAAACTCACTTTAATATCTACACACCACAAAGAGAGGCAAACAAATTACAACCTAATGGCTACACAAGGTTGAAGATGTTCAGTTATGTTCTCTATAAATTAAAAAACCCTATCAATCAGTGATAAATAGTAAATAATTCTACATCAAATACTACCCCATGCATAGATCTGAATTTCTTGTTAACATTTGAATAGACTAGTAAGACATTTTGAAAACAAACTAGTTTCTAATACGGAGCTAAACTGAAATGAAAAGTGAGAAAAATTTCCAGTAATTTAGAGAACACTTCATATTCAACACCCCTAAATATAAGTATTTTAAGCTTGAGATAATTATCTTTTGATCTGGCCAGCCTTTGAATGAGCAGAAAGACTAGTGAAAAAATCACGTAACATAGGACAAATTGAATGTGCTAAAAAGAGGCGAAGAGGCCTGAGAATAATTAACTTAAAAACTGTTTTTTTCTGAAGTACCTTGTAACGACTATCTATTTCCTGTGAAGTAACTTGTTATGTTCATGGTTAATTCTCACTAATTTTTGTTCAAAAGTCTAATTTACTTTTCATTATTATTAGTACTTCAGAAGTGTTAGAAGTGTCTTCTATGCTCTTCTAAGCTTTTCCTATAGTTTTTTTCATACAAGTTTGTGAATTAAAACACAAAAATAGTAGAACTTTGAAAGAAAATATACCCCTTTTTTTAGAAGTACAGTTTAAGTAAAACAGTTGTTGTTGCAACTGGTTATTTTTCTATTTGTAATAACTGTCCCTAATTGCTGAAATCCTGATTCAAAAAGATTCTAAAGCCAAGCACATATTACCACACTCTCATCTCTTCTTTTCTAGGTCTCCTATCCTACTTCACAAAGCAGACTGCTGGTTGGTTTACTGGACGTTTTGCATTTGAACAAACATGCATTATATATTAAATTATCAGGTAAATAACACACTGTAAAATGGTTGAAGAGTTGTTCAAGGAATTATGACATCTGAAAACATTCTAAATCCCTTTATGTGCCTTTCCATGGAGAGGAGCTGGGAAGGTACATACCTAAGATTAGGAGCAGTTCTTGAGCCCGACCCAGGGCAAACACAGGGATGAGGCCTCGGCCCCCCCTGTTCACGATGTCGTGAACGGTGTTGCAGAATCTCGCCTCCCGCTCTTCCCTCTTCTCGTGAATGTGAGTGCCATACGTGGATTCCTGCAAATGGAGAGACACAGCTCTGAAAGGGCTGACACAGAGAATAATTCCTGATCTTCTCTGAAGCCAACAAAAAAACCAGATAAAGATACTGGTGTTAACATGTTGGGGAGAGGAGGGAGAGAGGTCAAAGAGAGAGAAAAGTCAAAACCACTCCAAGTTCCCAAAACCACCCCACCAAGGCAAATAATGAAACCTTCCCCTCTCTCAAATTCTTCCAAGCAATTTAGACAGAGAGATCCTGTTAGCACTAAAGAAGTTGAACATAATAATTTCAATGCTTCTTTACACATTTATTTTCCTAACTGGAAATGCTGCCAGTGCTTTGATGATCACACTGACAGGGCCCATAGTGGTACATGCACCATGGTTTAACCTCAGACTTAAAATACAGGAATTACACAAAATATAAGATTTTGATGTGACTTAGATTATCAATTACAGAGAACAGCTAGAAGGGACACAGTAAATGAAATAATTTTGAAAGTTCTCAGTGTTTGTTTCTAGCTGAAACCATTCCATATAAAGTTTGCCTTGAGTTGTTGTTTTCCAAGCATGGATTCAGAATAAAATAATTTCATTCAGAAAACAAAACAAAAATATGGAATAGCACCCAGGACATCTCCACTGAGGACAAATTCTTAACATATCTGGAAGTAGGCTAGGATCTACTAAAAGACACATCTGGTTAAATTTGGGTTAGTATAACACAAATCAAAATCAAATAAATCTCCCATCTCAGAAAGGTTGTCTAGAGCCTTAAGGAACTTCATCAGAAAAATTATAAAATTATAATTAGACTTTTCAATACAATGGGAAGCAATGCCAGAGCCCTGAACATCTAAGTATTTTGGATATTTAACACAAATCACTACCACTAAATCTCCACTGTCTTTGTCATTCCATTTTGGCTTTAATTAATTCCCAGCCCTAATCAATAATTAATCACTAACAGAAAGACATAATTTGGCAAAACTCACAATTATAAGAATATCGGGTTTGATATTGGGAATCTCAGCTGCCATCAGGTGTCTGTCTTCCTGCCTTGAGAAATCACCTGTATATAACAGCTGTTGGAGACAAAGAGAAGCAGGTGCTCTGGTTACAGGTTCTACCAGTCAGCAGCCTTTAAAAAGCTGTGCAAAGATGGTTTTAATGAATTTTTGATAAAAAGGTCAGCTGTACTTTAAATAAGACTCTTCTTATGTGAGCAGCAATTACAATATTAGGTCAACAGTACTACAATACAAGTATTTAAAGCTCAATAGTAAAGATTTTTCAAGCAGTACCATAATTCCAACAAAACCAGGTAAGCAATTAAGTTATTATTTTTCATTTCAGATATCAAGGTGCCATTTTTCAGCCTTCTGCATACTTGCACTGACCACAAAGAAGTAAAAATAGATATAACATAAAATACAGCAACTCCTAAGAAGAAGTAAATCGAAGATCAAACTGCATTTACATACCAAAATACAAATATAATGAATAATCCAATAAAATTATTTATTAAAAATTCTTTTAATATTTTCTGATACTAAAAAAGAGCTTGTAATCTAATTGATTTTCCAAATGGAATAATCATGTTCCCCATTACACTAAGAAGTAATTTTTAATGGATTCTTAACTGCAGGGTGGAATGCAACTCTCTGTACCCAAACTGATGGTCTCAAAACTGACATTTTTTTATTTAACAATAATTCAATTGATGAAAATGTGAGTAAGAACATACAGTCAGTGACAGCAGGCATCTGGTCTGCCACATAACCTACTATCACAGGGAATTAATGAAAATAATGATATTAAAACCCAATCTATTTGAGTCATGCACAGTAAGAGGGAAATCATCTTCATCTTGCCTCAATCAGAAAAAAAATAAACAAAAAAGAAACATTAAGAGATCTAAATTTTAGTGTGATCGTTGTAAATTCAGTTATATTTCTAGGATTTTTAGTTAAAGCTCTCATAATTCTCAATCATAAATCATGAACAAACTCCTACTGGCAGCAAGCCTCAGAACCACCTTCTCTCTTCCCTCTTCAGGGCTGCGTGAAACTTTCCTTGGACAGTGATTATCCTGCTCAACTCCAATTCATGAGATGTGTTTCAAGTATCTGGTTTTGGCACAGTGCTGCTTGTGATTATATGATTTACTTAATCCCTCTGTGCCTAAAATTAATAATAATCTTATTTCTTTAGGTACTTTAGGTACATAGCATAGCGTTATGAGAAAAATGTAACTCGGATACAATTGACAAATACTATTTAAGCTCGTGAGACACAGAAGTAAATGAGAATTACAGAAAAAAACATCTGTTCAGAGATTTTACTAAAATGCAGCTTCCACACAACTGCCTCAGCTACCACCTGCCTCTGATCAGACCAGCAAGGGAAACTACATGTTTAGTGGTGCCAAGTCTTGAGTCACGTCTCAGACTCCCATACAATCCAAACATCCTACCTGATCTGTGTCACTTGTCAGTTTTAATCAGTGAGAAAACACATGTCCTAAGCCAGGGCTTCTCACCTTGACCTGAGTCCAAGTCTACTGGACAGCTCCAGCCAAAGTGAGGCATAAGAAACAATAATAATTAATGACTACATTAGTACTTGGGCTTGATTTCAACTTTTAATAAAGAGAAAATACCTTCACGCCAGCTATTTCAATCATAAACATGGCTGCTCCCAGAACGTGGCCTGCGTGGTAGCACCAGAATTTGATTCCTGCCACCTCTTTCACTTCATGGAAGTTGATGGTCTCAATCTTGTCCATGCTTTCTTCGAGGTCTGTTTCTGTGTATAGCATGTCATCCGCTGAAATGTTACTGGATATAAGTGAAATGGTTAAACATCAGCTCATCTGAACAGCTGGAAAAAACTCTTCCTGGATTTTCCCCAGTTAAGATTTCCATTCAGTAACACCATGCTTCCTACATTAGAAATCAAGTCCAGCTACTTCAATGTAGCTCACCTAAGGAGAGTTAAAGTAGCTTTCTTTTGAAAGGCCATGCTAGAAGAGTGTTTTCACCTAATATTCTGCTCTGTATTCCCCAAAACGTACCAGTAAGATTCCCAACCCTGGACAGAGATCTGCAACTTAGCTTGTAACAGTCCTCAAAAATCACATGGATCCATGCCTTTCCTACCAGCCCAGAACAAACAAGTTAAAAGAGGACTGTTCATCAGGTTTCTGTTCCAAGCTCAAAACAGCTGAGTTGAGATATGCTCAGGACCATTGCAGCCACATGAAATAATGTGCCAAGGCACAAAACACAAGAAAACAAAAATATAAGAGAGAAATAAAACCCCAACATGTAAGTAACGGAGCACTCTTTGTATATTCAATCTGTCCTTGTCCTGAAAAATGAATTGTATCCTTAGGAGCTTAAAATTCACTGCAAACTATCCATGAGGTAGTAAGATGATTCATTACTTCTAATCTGGTTAAATATAATATTGCTACTTATGACAACATCCCAAGCTCATCCAGCCACTTTTGGTAGCTTCACCTTAAGTTTCCCGTTGGAAAGTGAAATAATAGGTGAAATAATTCAGGAAGAGACAGCCCACAGGTTAGCTTACCTGACTTTAACATAGTCTGAAAGAAGCCATCTGTAAATAGCTTTTGTGGCATGAGTCATAAATGTCCGTCCCTTAAAACTTGTTTTCTGTAAAAACCATGGCAAAGCCCCACAGTGATCTAAATGGAAACTTAAAATAGACACACAAATCCAATTAATACATTCATATTACACAATACTAATATATATATCTATAGTTCACTACTTCACTGGACTAACATGGTGTCATGAAAATCCAGAAACAGAATTTTCAGCCTTGTTGTTAACTGTGATGGTCTATGTTCTGCAGACTAGTGACCAGAAACACAACCATGAAAACATAAAACTAATACAGGAAATTCTTCATTAATTGCCAAGGTATTATATGTATAGTATTAGAATTATCTTCTTTTTCTAATTTCCATGTAAATTTAGAGGGAGTAAAGGACCAGGGACAGTAAGCAACAAAAATATATGGAAACTAAAACACGATCCTAATTTTGTACGTTTCACACTACAAAATAAAACATGATCTCTGAAAAGTAAATTATTTGTTCACACTTCTAGTTTAACCCATTTTAAGAAACCACTTTTGAAATGCAGGTAGAGCAAACACATACCACAAAACCTCAGAATTTTATGGAGAGCTGTTTATTACTGATTACATCATTTAGGAACAGCTCTCCTCATCTCTCAGCTACTAAGCAATAATTAAACCATATTCAAAGCTTGTGAAAGTCTCCAAGAACCTTTTCAATTCAAAGCAAAAACCATAACCAATACACTCCTGCAGTCTTTTTGTAAAAAAACTCACTCCAGGAGCTATCTCAATGGTGTTAAGGCAGGCAAGGTTATAAAACAGAACTCAGAGTGAGCTCAGAGAAGAGTTGTAATGTCAAAAGTGAATCCTCAATATTCAGTCCCCAGTTCTAGATGGAGATCCTTAAACTTTTTTTTTTAAAAAATCTGGAAACCAGAATTTTTCCATACCATCTAAATAACATTTTCAGCCTTTCTTAATAACCTACAAGTGAACACAGCTCAGACCATAACCTCAAGTAATTTCTGCTTTTAGGTGCCACTTACTGACTAATAAGGAGGAGATCAATCTCAGCTGGATCGATCAAATCAATGTAAGGAAGAGCATCCATTCCTTCCAGCCCAGGATGGATTCCACAATCAAGCTGAAAAATGAAAGAAAGTTAAAGCTTCCAACAGAACGTATTAAACAACCCTCTTCCATCTTGGTCTATTATATAGTTATTAGTGACTGGTAACTTTTAGCATCATACAGAAAAAGCTTTTTCTTCATTCAACATTACTCTTAGCATTGGATTTCAAGTAGAATGGTTTGGGTTGGAAGCACATACATTCTATACAGGGATATGGTTTTATTTTACAGCACAGACTCTGCGATGCCTAATATCATACATGCTATACTGCTCCAGAAAGGTACAAAATGTGCCTTTTCTAGAACTGTGTCTGACTTGAGTGCAGAGGCTGAATTTAACCTGCAACATTTCAGATCACTTTGGTGACCTGAAATACCACACTGAGAGGGCATACAAATATATCCATGCAATAATTACCATGATTTTTCTTCCTTTAAACTCCAGAATGATGCATGACCTTCCTACTTCTTGACCAGCACCTCTGCAAAAGGATATCAAAGTCATGAGGACTGAAACAACCAACACCGCATAGATGTAGCTACACTGGATGCTTTTACTGGGATTATTTTTCTGCGTAGATATAACAACTGCACGGCCTTTTTAAGCTCAGAGTACCAGAGTATCCAGAGTTATCCACAGTACCTCAACAACTGTACTTAAAGGAAACGAGGCCCTACGTAACGCAGCAGAAATAAAAACAGCCTGTTTGAGTAAATTATTTTGGCCTCTTTTGTTTTTTACTGAGCAGTCGAGTCTCAAAGTATTGACACGTGTAATTAAAGTTCACCTAAGCAACAAATGGGGGCGAATAAGCCTGGAGTAACATCTTCAAGCTGTCCCAAAAACAAGGCTTGTGGCGCTACCAAGAAACCCCCTGAGCCTGCAGCGGCACCGTCGCCAGGGAAGGCAGCGGCTCCCAGCGGTGCCGCCCCGGTGCCGCCCGGCCCCACCGCGGCCCCCCGCGCCCCCCGGCCCGGCGGCTCCCCCGGCGCTCACAGGGGCCGGATCAGCAGCTGGTCGCTCTCCTCGGCCGGGATCAGCGCCTCGGCTTTGCGCTTGGCCGCCATGGCGCCGCTGCTGCCGCCTTCCGCCCTGCGCTGCGCCTGCGCCCGCCCGCGCGACCCGGAACGGGATCGGCAGCGGGATCGGGAACGGCCCCGGGAACAGCATCGCCAACTGCAGCGGGATCGGGATCGGGATCGGGAACGGGAGCAGGATCGGCAGCGGCAGCGAGCGGGGCCCGGCGCGCCCGGTGAGCAGCGGCCCCATCGCTCTCTCACTTGTCGGGTTATGGGCCGGGGACGGAGGGAGGAACGGGCAGGGAAGAGAAGGCGGGATGCGGTGCTGCCCTGCCCGGCTCCCCGGGCCGCCCGCTGCAGCCGCAGGGGCAGAGGAGCTCCGCGGAAAGGCCGGAGCTGTGAGGGCTGGTGTGGGGCGCGCAGAGCGCTGGTGGAGCGGTGCCCGTGGAGCCTCCCTGCAGGCCGCTCAGAGCCGGCAGACGCTCGTGGCGCGGCCGCAGGCGCTGTGCGGGAGGCGCCGGCACATCCGTGCTGGAGGCTGGGGCTAGGGACGTGCTGGGGCTCGGGGACGTGCTGGACACCGCCCTGCCCTGTGCACCGCTGGTTGCCGAGAATGGCTTTTAGTCTGCCAGGGACCCAGTGTTTGAGTAGTGGTGGAACAGCGGCGGCCTAGGGACTGTGACCCGTCGCACATCTAAGTTCTGCCTTGTGCCTCTTGCAATATTTTCTGCAATGTAAGCTGTCTTCCGTATGTTGTCATCCTCCATTGTCCTCTTTCTTCCACCTGCTCAAAGTTCTGAAGTTTTGTAATGAAAATAATTAGTCTCTGAAGCTGAGAAATGGAGAGCCAGCATCCTGTTGCTTGACACTGGCCAGCCCGATGTTAACTGAAGCAGGTGATAGTGGGGCAGGGACAGGAAATGCGCTTCTGGAATGCTCCCACAACTCCCAGGAACTCAGTTCTAATGCAGTAAATGCACCACACATTTTTCTTTAATTCTCAGGAATATGTTAAGTGATAATCGCTGCTCCTATGAGTATTCCAATAAGTAGTTCTTCAAAAGTAGGGTTTTTTTTGTGGATTTTTTGTTTGTAGGGTAAGGAGTGTTCAGTCGGGGGTAGGGGTAGATTTTGCTTTTTTCTTTTGTTTTACTGGAAACAGTCATTGGAGCAGGGAATGTGATGTATGCACTTTATAAGGACACTTAGATTGTAGTCGCAAATAAAAATCACCTAAGGCGTTCAAGTGGGAATATAAATTTTAAATTTTGCCTTGTTTCTAAATCTATATATGCATTAGAAACTTGCCTTTGCAACACTCTGTTAACTAGGCAGTAGTCTTTTTTGACGACTCAGAAGGATTGGGAAGTTTTAGCAGAGAGTTTGAGGAACTTTCCCTAGTCATACATGAAGAGCACTGGAGTAAAATTCCTACCTCCATTCAAAGAGTCCTATGCAGATTTCCACTTTTGGTCCACTTTGGACACAGTCACTGGTATTTGCCCGGACCTCCTTCACTTGATGATATTACAGGCTTTAATTTTTATTTTTTTCTGCTTAGAAGTTCTTCCTTGATCCAATTATGAAAAAATGTTTAGAAAAGGAAAAAAGCGACACAGCAGCAGCAGCTCACAAAGCAGTGAAATCAGCACTAAAAGCAAGGTAAGCTGAATGTGGTGTTTATTCTCTTTGTGAAGCACTTTGGTTTGTTACAAGTTAACAGTTCAGTGGTTCATTTGCACTGATGGTAGGATGTGATTTCTGTAAAATGCCGTGTTCCGCAAGGAGAATTTTCTACTTCCTCAGATTGTGTTATGCGAGTTAAAAATACCTGCCAGTCATAAAGCCTAGGTATTCTGAGATGAATATTCAGTCACTTCCACAGTGAATTGCACAAAGACAAGATTTTCTTGCAGCACATAGTAATGTTTGAAGGAAAATTAGTACATTTGTTCTTAAATTTTGTCTTTAAAGACAGTGCTTGCTGCTAGGTACCAAGAATGAGTTTATTCTTCAGTACTTTTTGCTTTCTCAGTATCTCTAGAAGTATTCTTAATTTTGAATAATATTTTCCTTTTTTCTGATTGGTTTTAGAATAATCAGTTGAATATTCTGGATTTTCCAAGGTGGTGTTTCTTTTCTCGTGCGCTGCTATGTTTTTTTCAAGTATTGGTGACAAGCATGTAGTTGTCATTTTCTTCATGTAAAAATACAGTACCAGAAAAGTTTGGACATAACCCTAAGGTTTATTTTTCCTTTTTCTCTGGACATAACCTTAAGATTCATTTTCTTATTGTCTGTCATTTCCTCCTTCTTTCAAAATATCTGTCGACTTCTCAAGGGTTCCTGATGACCTTTTATCAGTTCAGTCTGCATTGAGGCAGAAAGATAACTTCAGGAAAGAAACAGGTGGTACTGTTTTATCCTCCCCATTTTCCAGTGCTGCTGAAATAACTAGAACATGAACTGTTGGGGTTGTTTTTTTTAAAGAGTTGAGGCAGGACGTCTAGAAGTGAATTGTTAACACATTCTCAGTAACTTGCTGATGATGATGATGATTTTTTTTTTTTTCTTAGTCTGTAGATTCCAGTCTTGGGGGACTTTCCAGGTCTAGTACTGTGGCCAGTCTAGATACAGACTCTACAAAAAGTTCAGGTATGCAATCAGAGCTTGAGCAGGTATGGATGGAGCAGGATTAACTTTGTGTCTTTGTATAAAACAGCAGAAAATGGAAAAGCTTAAGATAGGTATTTTCAGTAATACCAAGTGAATCTGTTAGGTAGCCTGGTGACTAATGCAGGCACAGCCCTAGGCCTCTAAGCATTATTAATGATTCTTCTAGGATTAAGTCACTGTTTTCAAAGTAAAGTGTCTGAGGAAGAAAAACTTAGTTGTGTTACCAGTCTGTTACCAGCACAAATCTTGTACAGGTTTTTGGATGGCTGTTTTCTGCTTTTCTAAGTTTACATTTGCACCAAAATAATGGAATAAGATTTGCTTTTATTTGTTTTTAGTCACCAGATTACAATGTCCACTGTTGGACCAAACAGTTAATTTGAAACAAATAGACATCAAAAAGTAGAACCAGCTTTTCTGTGTTTTCTGATTCAATGTTGTTAACTCCAAATTTGAATTGGTATAAACAGTGCTGTATCATGGATGTATACAAAACTGTTGCCTTTACCAAAGTCTGTTCTAAATCAACCCAGTACAGTTCATTAAAGAGGAGTTAATATACTGTGATAAGTGTTTGATGAAAGTCTGCAAAATTAGGGAATTTAGTACATTTGCCCTGTTAACAGCAATTAGAAAAGCATTACGGTTCTGGAAGTCTTCAGAATGGCTTTGTTTTACTTTGTTGCAGGACAAAGCAATAGTAATTCTGATACATGTGCAGAATTCAGAGTTAAATATGTTGGTGCCATTGAAAAATTGAAATACAATGAGAGCAAAAGTCTTGAAGGGCCACTGGACTTGATAAATTACATAGATGTTGCACAGGTAAGTGGGTGAAAAAAGGCAATACCAACAAAGTCAAAACATCTTAAGCGTAGCTGTTTTTTTTTTAATTTATCCTGTGTTTTGACATCTGTTAAATTTAGACTTACTTGGAAGAAAGTGGCATACTTAACTATTAACCTTTGAATCTCAAAAGCCATCAGAGTTCTCTAATTCTCTGGAGAAGATGCACTCAGAGAACCATTCTGCAGAAGCAGGCTCAGAGCCAAGGCCCTTTTTGTGAGTCCTTATTGAACAAGTCCCAGCTGAAAGCTGTTACATTGCCTCCAGCACAATTAGGATTAGTATCCAGAAAGGAATATCTCCACAGATTCTTCAGTACTGTAAAAGTTTTGCCTTAGAGGAAGATGTCAAGTTTCTGCTTGCAGTCACTCATGAACCTGTCACCAAAGAACCTGAGTAATATTTGGGTCATCCATCCTTGCCAAACTCTGGTTGCTTGTACTTACTTTTGTACTAAAACCCATAACTGGTTCTTCTCATTAGGTAGCTGATTATATATTTTTAAAAGCACAGAATGTCTGTTTATCGTGCAGCAACTTGACATTTCTGAATATGTGCTAAAACTATTTTTGCAGCCAAACAACAAAAGTTGTGCTAGTGAAAATGGATCACCTTGGGTCAGTGCAGCATGATAGGCCATGCATGATTTTTCAGCCAACCTGATTTGACTACAGAGCCAAACTCTCCCCTGAGGTGATAAATTCCTTCCTGGAACCATGTAATATTTAGAGTAGAATAGAACAGAATGGAATAGAGTGTTTCTGCTGGAAGGGACTCACAGTGACCACCAGTCCAAACTGCCCAACCACTTCCGGGCTGACAAACAGTTAAATGTGTTGTAAAGGGCATTGCCTAAATGCCTGTTAAACACTTGATAGGTTTGGGGCATCAACCACCTTTCTAGGAAGCCTGTTCCGAGTATCTGGTCACCCTTTCATTAAAGAAATGTCCAGTCTCCCCTCAATGTATTTCACATAACATTGAGAGACTGGGCAAGTGCATGAGCACTGGGCAGACCTTACACATCAGGATCTGAGCAGGGTTCACAGTGGTGCTGACCCAGTGGACCCAATTACACATGAATATGTTTTCTATTATGTATCTTCATTGTTCATGTTCTGTTGTCTGCACTAAAGGCTTTTGTTTGTTTCCCTCCAAAGCAAGATGGAAAGTTACCTTTTGTTCCAGGTGAAGAGGAGTTTATTATGGGAGTTTCCAAATACGGCATTAAAGTTTCCACATCTGATCAGTATGTAAGTGCTTCACCCAACTTGCCTTTCTGATGAGAGTTGAAAAGTGATTTCATTTATTTCTCTGGTAGATGATCTGTGTGACCAAAATGTCGTTTCTAGCTTTAAGCAAAAGTCAAACAAACAAGCTCTCCCAGCAGCACTGCTTCATGTCATATCTCTGCAGGCTGTGCTTTTCTGGTTGGATTTATGACAAAAAGCTGTTCCTTTTGAGACAGAGCACCAGACGAAAGGCAAGCAAGCCTTTGGCACATAGTCCTTCCTCTGTGGCTGTCCTGCCATTATTTCATG